AGTAGTACCAATGTTTTCGTGGCACGTTACTAGTTTTGATATCCACAGCAGCCTTGTTGATGGTTATGATGTTGCTGATGCAGCTGGTGGTTATGTTTATGATCATGACAGTGTTGGTAACGACGAGAGCAGTAGGCTAGGATTGGCAATCGTGGTAGGCATGGCAGTGCAGAGAACGTGCAGCAATGATGATGATTCGGTGTATACGTGGGGTTGTACTAATACTGAAATGCTCATATCTTCACACGTCAGAGCCTTACTGGTCACAACGACCATGGTTTCAATCGGTAGTGGTAGCGCGAGAATACTAGTCGTGATGAAGTGGTGATCGTGCTTGCAGGGAGAACAGTTCTAGTGCTTTAAGCATTACGACGGTTATGGCAATCAGTTGGTAATGCCGGTAGTATTCACGAGTAGTGTCATCGCCACGGCTGTCAGCATGTGTAACTTGGGCCTGGGGGTACTGAAGGCTAGGCCAGGCTGCTGCAGTGCTTTGTGATACCCCACGACCCAAGCAGCCACGACCCAAGCAGTGGCCTCTGCCAAGGCTGTGCTTGGTGTACATTGACAGAATTGTGAAGTTACACCCAGACTTCACGATATGCAGCCTGAACATACACAGGCAGCGCGTGGGTGGGGTTAGTAGGTTTGCTTCCGGGCTCACCGATGATGTCTCTTGCGTTGCAGAGTCTCCAATGTGCAGTGGTTTGGTCCAAGCTGAAAACCAATCACGTTGGACGGGTGGCCGCGTGTACACGATAGGCAGACAGGTAGGTAAACAGAGACACACAAGTGATCACGCGCATGCACACGCACCAATTGCGGATGAAACCGGAAAGGTACTCGTAGTGCAAGGCCGAAGCAATCATCACTGAGTGATAAATCAACAAAGTAACCAGTAGGGACGACTAAATAATGGTGAAGTCAATCATTTAATGGTTGAACCAATGGAAGCAGAAAGATGAACTTGCAGGCAACGCGTTTGCACACACGTGGATGAGCACGCAGGCACGTGTTGACAGCTTCCGATCTACCTGTCTACTTGTCTACCCATGTTTAGTTTGCATACAGTGTGTATCCGCAGACGTGCATCTACGTATCTATCTTTCTATCTGTATATACACGCACAAGAACACGTGTATCTTCCTGTCGATTTTACACATGTATCCATGCACATAGAATATGCGACCACGCCGGAATCGTGACATCGTCCAGATTGGACTCAACATTTCCAGAATCCCAGGTTCTTGAAGATTCAAGAGTTCCAAGTTTCTTAATGCGAAAGTTCCAGAGGACTCAAGAATCCAGACTTCTGAAACCTTGAAACTGGATTTGTTGGCTTACGAAGATCTTCTCATTTTTCAATTCTGCAATTTTAAAGTGGGCGAATCTTGGATCTTAGATCTTGGATC